TGAGTGTGAGCGTTATTATTATTATTATTATTATTATTATTATTCAGAATCTACTTTCTTATGCAGTGTCCCAGGGATATGGAACACGGAGGGAAAGTGCTTTATATATTGTAGACAGGATAGTTTGCTTCATGAAGACACTATTTTATTTTTAATACAAGTGCTTGCCTCGTCTGGGATCGAACCGAACAAATGTGAAAGAAAGCATCCTGTATTTTTATGATGCCGATCGAAAGGGTCATTCATAAGGATGAATTTACTACTAGCCGACCCGATATAGTTACAGTAGTTACAGTAAAAAAATACGAATTATACTATTGTCATTTCGACAAAAAAACGAAGAACCACGACTGTAGATACTGGGTTCAAGATAGTGCATACATACATACATATCACGCCAGTCTCCCGCCGGGGTAGGCAGAGACTATAGACCTCCACCTGCTACACTCTTGACAAACATTCTTCATACATACATTCTTCGTACTTTTAACCCGGCCTTTTTAATGACATCCCCAATCTGATTAATAAGTACGCCAAGATTTACCTATGTGTAGTCCTCTAGATAGTATTTACAAAATTTCATCCGTTTAATTATTTCATTTCCATAATAAGATTAAACTACGCGTAATGGAACGCGCTTCTATTGGAACGTGTAAATGGAACGTGTTTCGTTAGACCTTCGCGTACTAGGTACCACTGATCTACAAGTGATGTGGCAGTCTTGTAAAGTCTATTTCAATCCATTTTGAACAAACAGTAAACAAAACTGTTTGGTTAAAATTCTAAAGCAATCACTCAATAAATCGAACAAGTAACACTTTCACGTATATTTCGAAGATTTAGACTTGTTATCTCATCACTTTTTCCAACAATATTCATTTGAATAGCATCGTAAAATCGTATTTGAAAAATGGTAATCCAAAAGTGAGGTTGTTTTTCATCTATACATCTCTGGCTTGTCTATGGTTGCATAATGCTGTACGAGAAAAAACATTCGGTTCATTTAATTAAAGTATTTGTAATCGATTAGTAAATGAAATATTTCAGTCGCAATCGAACGAGTATTTAAGTGTAAGGATTTGAAGGAGGATTTAAAATTAGGATTTCGGAAATTTTAAATATGTGTTTATAGGTTATGTAAGGAAAACCGCTACTAAGGGTCGTATTCCAGAACTCTACTCAATGCTCAAGTCAGGATTTGAGCAGACTTGAGTATGATTTCAATAATCACATATATTACATATACACATAAATTATCACAATATTATTCAGCGAAATCGTCGATTAAAACTGCAAATTCATTATGATTTTATTTCAACATTTTGACGATAAGGGGGACGATATTGAAATAACAAAATTATAGAAAGTTATCAAGTCCACTATTACATAGTCACCATTACTTGAGTAATTTTAATTATACTGGTTATTAAACAGCTTCATAGAGTAATTTTTTCAATGAATTCAATACTATTTTTAATTGTTTTGTATTGTTATGTAATATATATATTATTGTAGTATTAATTTTAGTTTTCTAATAATTTATGAATAACTGAAAATTTATTTCAATAATATATGACAAAGACGAGAAGCACTTTTAATACAACCACAATTTTAATGTAAGGTTAAAAATAACGCTAGACGGCTCTACTTGAGATCTTACTACATTTTATTGTAAAAGAGTCAAGAGACATTACTATGTTTTATTTAATATCTTTGATAGGTTTATGTAGTACAAATATTTTTATGGCACATATTATATACCAACCAAAACATAAAAAACAATCAACAATAATAATTTTAACTTTCAAAATTATTAATCTACTTTCGTGTGCATACTAATACACACGAACCTACATATACGTACCTACCTCCTACTACCTGTACTGTAGTTAAACTGAAATGCTTGAGTGATTTCAAATGTAATTTTAATTGCCTATTAAAACGTACGCTTACGATATATATTAATAATATTTTTTCCAAATATTTTACTCAGACTCTTGATGGAAATAGATCTGAGAATGGTGGAGTCTGAATTACATACTGCCATATTTTAAAATAAATAGACACCATCATCGACACCCTTCTTTAAACACAGATAGATACCAATCCAATCACGATGATAAGTCTATTTACGAAAATGATGTTATAATTCAAGAGCCACAGATGAAGATTTTTATTTAGCTTTTGATTCCCTTTTCGCTGTTGTCCAATCATTTTGTCCTATATTTATACTTCATTTTTGTTTTTCCTTTAAAAGTATATAAGCATTTAATATTATTTTTTATTTATTGTTATGTATGTATTAGTATTATTATTATTTGTTTATTTATTTATTTAAAGATACACCATCAACTTAACACAAAACAATATTAAAAAGAAATACACACAGGTTCACTATACAAGGTGCCAAGTCACTACAGTTGCATACATCACTAAAAATCTAATGTTAACCAATGAGATACTAATGAAAATATATAATTAGAAATATAAAATTACAGTAATAATTAGTTATCTATAATAGATATTTACAAGTTTCATTAGTTCAAACAAATTGCTTGCACATACGAAGAAACTGCTTAGTATTTTTTATATTAAAGATATCTATGTCGCCGTCTCCAGTCGTAAGTAAGTCATTGTATGACTGCATGAGTCTGTTCAAGGGGGCATACTTTCCAAGATTAGTCCTGCCACTAGACAAAACAAATGTTCTGACTATGGGGTACCTAGGCACTTTACGAGGAACGTTAAAATTAGTGAGGGCAAGAGCCTCTGGCGACGACATACCTCCATGCACTATCTTATGCAAAACTCCAATATCGATGATTCGGCGTCTGGTCTCGAGAGAAAGCATTTTGAAATTGTGTAGGCGAGTATTATATTCAGCACGATAGGGGCAGTCGGGGCCTTTATATGCCAGAAAACGAGTAAAGTTACGTTGTATCCTTTCAATTCGTTCACAATGGATTCTATAATGTGGATTCCAAATTGGGGATGCATATTCCAAGGTACTACGTATCAAAGTGTTATATAAAGCGAGTATGGCATCCGGACTCCTGAAGTCCTCCTGAAGTCCCTGCAAGAGCGTTTGACGAAACCCACCATCTTCCAAGCGTTTAATATGATACTATTAATATGGTTCGTGAAATTTAACTTGCTGTCAAACATGACCCCAAGATCACGGACACAAGAGTGCTCAGTTAGACATACACCGTCCACTTTATACTCTGACTGGACAAAATTCTTATTTCTAGTAAACTTAATGTGAAAGCATTTAGATGCATTTAAATTCATTTTATTAAGTTTACACCAATCGTGAGTAGAATTCAGATCCAACTGTAGAAGGTTAACATCGCTCTGGGTTTTTATGCTTTTGTATAATTTAACGTCGTCGGCAATCATGGAACACTTACTAGTTTTGATTCGGTCGGAAATATCATTTATGAAGGCCAAGAAAAGAATTGGACCGAGATGGGAGCCCTGGGGCACTCCAGAAATAGGCTCGAAAGAAGAAGACTTAAAACCGAGCACCGTTACACGTTGTTGTCTGTGTTTTAGATAAGACCAATTGAGCAGTTTGCCATGAATGCCGTAGGATCAAGTTCAAGATCAAGTTTCGACAGCAATAAGTACAAACATAATCAAATGCGCTGCTAAAATCGGTATATATTGAATCAATTTGAATTCTTTTATCAACGGAATTGGTAAGGTCTGTAGCATAATTTAGAAGGTTACTAAAAGTCGATTTATTTTTCCGGAACCCGTACTGAAAATTGGATAAAACTTTTTCGAGATGATTTGTAATGACAGGATAAACAATCTTTTCAAATATTTCAGGTATCACACTCAAAATGGATATCGGTCGGTAGTTTTTTATGTTACGTTTATCGCCCTTCTTGTGTACAATGTTAACAGTCTTCCATTTCGATGGGAATATTGAAGTATCCATTGATTTATTAAATAATATCATTATGGGTAATGCCAACTGCTCATATATGTCGTTTTAACAAAAAATGGTGGTATGCCGTCGGGACCAGCACCTTTGCTTGCATCAACAGATGTTGATTCGATGACGGAAAACAGTAACTTGTAAAATCTGGAAACAGCGACATTGACATCATTACAACAGGATAATTCAGAATCCCAATCAATTTTATTCAAAGCAGTTTTCACCAGATTATAATTTGCTTTCTTAAAGTTATGAGTCGCAAATTGTTTACTAGCCATATTAGATTGCGACTGTAATTCCATAGTAATTTCGAGGGCAGGATGATGTGGATCGTGCCTGCAAAGCGGTCTATCGCATCTTACATCCTGTACACCTCCGATATTGCTCAATATCAAATCCAAGATTCTCTCATTATGGTTCTTCACATTGTTATATTGCGACAAAATATTAAGTGACATAAAATCAACAAAAGTATATCCTAAGTTACAGCTATAGTTTGAAGGTGTTAATTTAATACAATTTTCAATATCAAACCCCCAATCTATAAAACCTAGATTAAAATCTCCCACAATAACTACATTGCCAGTATGGGATTGCATTACGATATTACAGTTCTCAATCACCGAATTCAGAGCAGCAGTAGTCACAGGAGGAGGCAAGTAAAGGGCACATAACAAAATTTCTTTTACTGTTGAATCACATTTATGATATTTCACAGCGATCTACAGATCTTCGTTGCTGCTCTCAAAATGCTGGACTCTCCTAGACTGTAGATTATTTGAAACAGCAATTAGAACACCACCCCCAGATTTACTAAGGGAGGACGTAGCATAACGGTCTCTTCTATAAACATGATAGTTGCCAGCAAACAGTTCGCCGTCGAGCAGACCATCGTCCAACCACGTTTCAGAACCAATAATGACATCGTAGCATGTAGAAAGTACAGCCAATTGAAAATCTTTAGTTTTCATCTTGAGCCCTCGGAAATTTTGATAATAAATGTTGAACATAACGATCTACCATTGGGTCTTCATAAGGACCTGAGAGCTCAGACTTACAGGTTATTCAGGTTTTCATACGACTTGATTTGTTTAGCAGGAGACTGATCATTTTTCCGAACGAAGATACGGCCGTTGCGAATCCATACGTATTTATAATCCTTATCTCGGGCAACATGTCTCGTACGAGCGTGAAGTGCTTTGTAATATGGAGCCAGGTGTTCTGATACAAATATCGGCGACGTTTTTCCACCATAGCCGAGGTGTCCAGAGTGAAGCTTTTCAGATGGAGTGGCTTTATTAAATTTGGCAACAGCAGCCAGGATTTCGTCACGTATTTCAGTGCTAGGGAGCTTCACTACAATAGCGCATGACCTTTCACTAGAATCATCCATCTTCCGAACCCGCGTGCAAAACAGAACATTAGTATCAGCAATGGGTCTTGAAACCGCAGAACTTAATTGCTTAAATACGGAGACATGATTTTCAGGCTTGTGCTCGGGGATTCCATTTATTTCGACATTTGTTTCACGTGCGTGTTGCTCGAGTAGGTTCAGTCTACCAGAAAGTTTATCTACCATTATTATATTATTATTTGTATGTATATATATCTACGTACATGTTTATATTTTTGTGATTACTTATTATGTAGTGTACTTATGATGATATTCTTTGGTTGAACCCCTTTTGCATATCCGAAATGTATATGCCAAGGTTGCCTGGAAGAAATTGCTACATAGCATTAGCGCCGCCTGTTACACATTAACTTACTACTACTTAATAGTAGTAGTAAGTTAATGTGTAACAGGCGGCTTAAGTATAATTAGTTAAGCTATTGTATTGTATTTTAACATTGACCTTTTGTTTGGTAGGTCAATGTATTTTAACTGTAGTTTTATGTACAGTAAAGAATATTTCATTCATTCATTCATTTATTTTAAACGTTGTTTTACTCTAATGAAAGTAAATCAGTTTTGTTTTAAAATCCGTAATAAGTAAAACTACTAAAGTTATATCTAAACGTAAAACATTATTATATGAATACACGAATTGTACTTTTCTAGTTTTTCCAATTTTCAGACAAATATTTTAAGCCACAAACAAATCTGTACTATTCAAGCTTGAATAGTAAGTCAGAGTCAGATTAGTAATGTCGTTTTATGATAAAAACTAATTTTGTTCATTTTTTAATTGAGTCACTTTCATTCTATAAGTGTGCTATTATTCTGATGCTACTCTTTGCATAGCAAATCGATATATCGCTACACTTACTGAAATTATCCAAACACCTTATTAGTATTAAAAGAAATCTGTTACCCTCACTTGTTTATTATTACACGTAAAAAATTGTTATACGATTTGAATTCCTGCTGCTAACTCTAAATCACCGTGAAATACCAAATCTTTTGTTGTTTTAGAACTTGTATCTACCGGTAGGTGCGACCGCGTATGGGATTGAATAGAATATGAAGAGATCATCTTAATTGTACCTGCGTAGAGCGCCCGAGTTAGTCTGTACGACCCTTGACTCCTGGTCGGCCAGCGCCTGAGAATCACGAATAATAGACATAAAATCTGTCCAAAACTCATCGCAGTGAACTGAATACTAAAATAATAATGATGCGGGCTCTTTATTACCTACTATGTTCCATTGAGAAAATCATTAATGACTTGGATTTTAGGACGATGACTTCCCGTTTGTAACCACCACTGTAGGATGTCTTCCGAACTTGCGGCCCTCGGTTTATTTAGATAATCCTCGAACTCATTGTTATTGAAGCGTTGAATACCAGATCCAGATGATGTAGAGGGGCATGCATACAATTTATTAAAATCGATTACGTCTTCGTCTTCATCACATTCACATACTTCATTGTCATGTCTTGGTAATCCTGGAGATCCAGGCACTGCGTGTAGGTTTTTATATTCCTTATAAAGTTCTTCAAATTTACGCAGGCTTTCAGATTTTAGTTGTTGTCCCCACATTGTCACATGGAAAGTCTGAGATTTGTGCCTTGGATCTAAAATTAAGGTGATACAGTAAATCCAGTTGGCCATCCTATAATGCTTAAGCATTTTATTTTGGGCGGCTTGGAAACCCAAAATGAGCCTCTCATCTACTTCGGTTCGATTAGGTTTGTCGTCTAATTGTTTTATCATAGCTTCAATTTTATCAAGCAGAAGATTGAACGACACAATCACTAGCGGTAATGTTACATATTTTTCTCCACCAAGTTTCATTGTTAGAAGTTTAAAGTTTATCAAAAACATATATTTTTTCGAGTATTTTCCAATCAATTTCTGATATTACAAAATTACTCAAATCAGACACAGAAGTGCATAATATGTTAATGCCAAGTTTTAGTTTTAAACATAATCCAATCATATCATGTGTGGATTTCCATCTTGTTGGACAGTCCAGTATGAGACTCAGATTTGTTGGCACACCAGCTGTTTCACAAGCCGACTGGAACTTCCTCTTCAACGTCTCACTTCTTTTTATTTTACTACAAATACTGCATAATTTTGTAATAGCCGTACTTGAGTCAGAAATATTTGGCACATATTCTTTAACTTGCTCTTCTTCGTCTTCACACTGCTGTTCTTGTTCTTGACTGTCAGTTTCAATATTTAACGCTAAGTTATTCAATAAATCTTGTGCGCCCAGGTTCAAGATGTGAGCAATGCACCGAAAATGTTGATTATCCGAATCAAAATGTGGCAGTAGTTTTCCAAGTTCATATATGAATTTGGTTTTTGCAGTTGCGTTGTCGACTGTCATACCCTGAATTTTATCAGCTAAGGTATATTCCAATAGACATTTGTGGAAAATCCTTGCAATATCCATCCCTGTATGTCCACCACTCGATGGAATAAAATCCAGGACTAGAGATCGATACTTCCATTCATTATCTATATAATGAATAGTGACCCCATAGTAACTCCTACCAGCAATCGACGTCCATCCATCAATAGTGAATGACATTTTACATGAGTATTTTTGTAGTCTACTCTTAACACGCGTATGCAGTACTTCAAACCGCTCTTGAACCATCCTTCGAACTGTCGATCTCTTAGGAAATACCAAATTTGGGCATATTATTTGAAAATATTTTTGAGTATCTTCGTCATCGAAAAACGAGAAGGGAAGATATTTCTTGGCAATCCAGTCAACTGTAACTGTCATAAAATCACTATGGCTTTCAGATACTGACTGAAACAAGATAACAAAACGTGTTAATACTTAATATAACATTTTACAAACACTACCTACTTACGAACCTATTAATTACATTGAATTTTTAACTATATTAAACAAACAAAAAATTGCCTTGACCGGTAATCAAACCCAGAACTTCAATAGGCAAAAAACATGTTGAGGTGACCGCCGAACTTGTCAAAACTTTTCTACCAATCTTATTATGTGCCCTACTAAGTTAACTCAATAAATAAGTACGTACCTGAATTTTGGTAACAAGATTATTTTTTACAAGTTTCTATTTTAAAAATATTTCTATAATATTAAGTATAGCCTAGAGAAATCGTTTTAAGAATTCCAATCTAATCGGTTTGTTTACTTCTCATGAAAAAACGATTGACACGATTAACTATAAGTATGTAAATTATAAAAAATATTAGGGAGGTGTTATGTTAAATATTATCTTACCTGTTCACTTCTTCTAGTGGTATTAAAAAAACTTGAAATATCTCTAATTGTTGTCGGTTTTCTTATAGGTATAAGTTTTTGCGATTCCTTTTCGTGATAAGACAGTAGATGCTTCCTTAAACCCGAAGTGTTTCTGTTTTTCATTTTTATTTCAACTTTTTTCTTTTTAGAAATTGGGCACAACTTGCAGAGATCCATTTCAGATTCAGGAATTATTTCGAAATACTCATCAAATTTGCTTTTAGAGCACCTAGATGCAACACAACTCTCACTAGTCTGACTAGAATCTTCGTCGCTCATGTCAAAAATAATTACTGGTCCGACCCGTAACGAAGCTTAATTGCAAGTAAACAAATTTCATATAAAATTTCCTATTTATAGGCACATGCCGAAAAATTGGTAAAGAAAAGTTCGGCACCTTTGATAAAAATTTTTGATAAAAATTCATTTGAAGATTAAAAACAGAAGAGATTTTTTTTGCAAGTTGTTGTACCTACGTAACAATTCAAGGCACTTTACCAAAATGTACATAAATCATTACGTGTACTGTATGCCTCTTTTGATTGAAAATATACACAAGTACAGTAAACAGTGGGTAGTAAACATTTTACATGGAATTCTATAGAAATTGGTATTAAATCAATGAAATAATTTGTATATGTACAAAAGTTATTAAATAAAGTAAGTAGGTAGTAGTAATAGCGCATATAACACGTAGTTTTGTTTTGTGCTTGAACTGTATACTTAATATTTATACAGTCCAACATAAGAGCACTATAATAATATTTATGATTATTACAACTACAGTAAATTATAATAATATAACCCATCGATCCTTCGCGATGACCAAACCAAGATGTTTGACTACAATTCGAGCGCCTCTGAATTAATTTTCTCTTTGGAATTTCGGCGTCTTTTTACAAAAACGCGGTTGCTTTGAGCGATGTCAAAGGTGCCGCGCGCGACACGTGCCGTACCGTCTTATAAGCGCGGCGCGAAGGGCGGTGTCTTTGTCGGCAAATTAACAAATATTTAGCGCTCTTTCGCATAAAAGAGATAAATCATCATATTGACTGCAAACACTGTTTACAATATGTACTCGATTACAGTTTCAATTTTACGACATTTAATTCGGAAATACAGACGCAAGCAACGAAATCCATTCCTGGGCATAATAAAAGATGATGAAAAGCGCTTAGTAAGGATGTTATCCCGCCGTACGTCTGGATGTCCGATGAGCTGATGGAGCTCATGGGCACACTCACCGAAATCTATTCTGTAAAAACCGACAGACGGGCTAAACTGTGAACTTTAGATTCGCGCTTAACGTCGCCAATAAGTCTTCTGGCTCTGCGCTCAATCGAATCAAGAGCCTCAAGTTGATACTTCGCTGAGCCATCCCGCAGGTGACTGCAATCCTCCATGCAAGATCGGACCTGTGCTTTGTATAAAGTTAAGAGCTATCCAGGCGTGAAATATCGCTTAACCTTTTTAAAGATACCCAGTATTTTGGCTGCAATTTGTGCCTTACATTCAATATAAGCGCCCAAGTTAAGGTTTGCGCTCAATGTTATGCCAAGGAGATCTAGGCTGTCGGTAAGAGAGACAGATATACCCCGAAAAGTGGGAGTCAGATCAAATTGACTCCTTTTAGCAGTAAACAGACAGGCCTGCGTTTTGGTGGCGTTGAACTCGGCCAGATTGTCATCTCCCCACTGAGAGACAAGACTTAAGGTCAAGTTCATCCGCTTCACCGTGGCCTCTCTCAACGAACGGATAACTATCCTGCTGTCCCTTGCATTTACATTAGAATAAGAATTTAAATAAACGATATGGTTTCAGAATTTTGAATAAAATATTATTTAATTTTACTTTGAAAGATAGCTAGCCAGTCATTGAATATGTCGAGATTCATTACTTTAAATACATTGTTGTATTTTTCTTCTTCTTCTTAACAACAAGTACTTGTTGTTATCGCATTGCTTTGTATACTTACATTCAAATTTTACACATTGCCTAATGCATATTCGACATTTATAGAATACCTAGTCCAAGTGTATAAAAGAGTTTTAAGGGTTTAGGCACCGGATTACGTACATTGCCGATAACATGTACATAGAATAACCCATAACAATGAAAGATCACTAATTCAACATATAATCTGTAGTTTACTCTTTATTACACACTTCAAAATATATGTATAGTAGCCAATAAAGTAAGTATTCGGTACATGAAGAACATAATCCTATCCAATATCGAGTAAACCCCTGGGTAAATAGCAGCGTCTGTTTATTGATACAATTAATCTCTACACGCAACTGCTAACTAGACTAATGTCAAGATATTGGAAGACGTTCGCTGCCTGCGCCTAGTGACTGCTAATACTTATGATCAAATTGTTTAGTAATTGCTGACATAACGATAATTTCTTTAAGGGACAGGTTTATAAGCGGAACAACATATGAATTCCTTTTTCTCGTGAATTACTCTGTCTTTGACCTCAAAGGCCAAGAAATTACGAGAATAGTCCCTGATGAATAGAAACGTCTCTGATGGACGTACTACATACATACATACATACATAATTTTCTCGCAGTAGTAGTAGGTAGTGTTACTAGCACAGAACACTATACTCACAAGGGAAGTTACAAGAGGAGACATCATTATTATTAAGCTTATTAGTAAATGTAAACAGTGTTGCCAGAGCTCTTGAGTCGAAAATTACATTTCGTTACCTGAAAAGTAACATTATTGCTACAAAACTTACCAGTAATTGATTGATTTAATTTTGTTTGCGTTAGTAACAGCCAGTAGAGCTCCTTGTGAAAGAGTTCGTCCAGAGACGTACTACCACCTAATCTATTTCTGCCGCCAACCAGTTATGTCAGCATTACTGTGTTCCGGTTTTGAAGGGTAAGGGGTGCTGGTGAAATTAGAGGCACATGGGATTAGTCAACTTATGCCTCAGGGTGATGGGCGCAGTGGCACTGCCCCTCGGATCTTTACGATTTGAAGCTCTAGCAAAAGTAAGTGCGAAGTAGCATTGCAACTGCTATGGACAGACGTGTAGCTTGCCATCAGGTGCACGACTTTTTCGTCCCATCACTTGATATTATAAAAAATGATGAGCAACCAAAAAAAACTATGATCTGATGCTGTAGCCAACTCAGACTACCCGACTCTAAAACTACTTACATAGAAATATTGTGCATGATTAAATTAGTCTTGACAAGTTGTTGGTTTACAGATGGTGACTTCTTTGAAGTACGCCGTTTTGTATCGGGGCTTTTTAAATTTGTATTAAGTTTTAGTAGTCCCGTTTCCAAGCTACTGCATGTTTTCCGCGCGTTGAATGTGTACTTTCTTGTCAAGTGTACACACTTATGTTTACACGAACATTTATCTGCTTGTTATAAATGTACATATGTGTTGTATACTTAATATAACAAAAATAGAACATACGTAATCCACAAATTTAAACGTATCCATAATAAGTCCTTATATAGAAACCGTCATCGTTTTTCCAATTTTCCTCCCGTCTATTGCACAAGGCGCCAGTTTATCCCGGGAAAATTTGTTCATGTCAGACAGGACTGTTTATTGCAGCAGGATATTATAGGAAACTGTAAGCTGAAGGGACGTTTGTACATCGGGTGCCCTGTATGAAGCGTAGTTTTGTAGATAAAGTGATACAAAACACTTAACAATACCAGTAGTACATATCTGCGTGTTAATCGTCGAGTAGAGTCTTGTGTTGCATTACACAATTCTAGATTATAAGGCAATTAGTTACTATTGGAGGTTCAGTAATAGGTTTCAATCAAGATTTTCACATTTTGCGTAAACAAGAGAATGACAGTCGACACGTCGACACCATCGCCTCAAATAGGTACCTTAAGAGTTTCCTGCGCACCATAAAAACTTACGAGTGTCATTTTATTGTTATACAAAAAAAAAACAGAAATACCACCTAGTTTCATCGACACTCAAGAGTCCCAAGTTGCAATTTGTGGTAGCCCGGTAGTCAGGTATTTGTTCCTACGATTTCTAAGTTCCGTAACACGAAAATCCCAGCTAAATTTTAACTTTCTTTTCAGAAGCCCGTTGCTTATATT